TACCTGACCCAAGCCATGGTATTTTCAATAGTCCCATATGCATGTGAAAGCTGGACAATGAATGAAGAAGACCACAGAAGAATTGATACATTTGAGTTTGTAATGTTGGCAAAGAATTTTGAATATGTGTGGTCTACCAGAAGAATGAACAAATCTGTTTTGGAAGAAGTAAAGCTGGAATGTTCCTTAGCAGAGAGAATAGGCAGACTTTGTCTCATGTACTTTGGTCATGTTGTCAGAGGGACTAGTCTCTGTAGAGGGATATCATGCTTGGTAAAGTAGAGGGTCAGTGACAAAGGGGAAGACCCTCAATTAGATGAATTGACACACAGTGGCTGCAATGTTAGGCTCAGATATAGCAGTGATCATGAACATTTGCAGGACTGGGCACTGTTTCATTCTGTTGTACAGAACTGACTTTATAACACCTAAAACAACAACACTTTTGATTTTATAGTGGCATAATTTCCAAGTCATGAAACCTACCCATGCTAAGTGTCAAATTCAATTATTTTTATAAGATTTATACAATTGTGCAGCTATTACCCTAACCAAGAGTTTTAAACATCCCTCACCTGAAAATTGTCCCTTATGTGGATTTGAAATTAACCCTGAACCCATCGTTCTGAGTACCAGTTGTAAGGACAAACACAAATAAAAATAAGAGGTTTTCATTCTCCCTGTTGAAACAAGGAAGGCGCCTTGGTGACACAGTTGGTAAGACCAGGCTCCTAACTGAAAAGTCAGCAGTCTGAACCCACCAGCCTCTCCACAGGAGAAAGATATGGCAATCTGCTACCATAAAGATTACAGCCTGGGAAACTACTTTGTCCAATAGAGTTGCTATGAGTCAGTGTGGGGTTGGTTGTGTTTTTGGTTGAAATGGGGCAAGGGGCTCCTCATCTCCCAGTTCTCTCAGAATTCACATTAGATAACTTGTCATTGTAAATTCTTTCTCTGTTCCTTTGAAAAGTATGTAAAACTAAGGTGTTAACTGAAGGACCTGGCAGCCATCTCTTTAGAGTCTCGCTTCAGGTAATCTTCCCCTACCTTCCAGTTTCCGGGAAGGAGATCAGCATAATTTCAGGTATCATGCCATAAAGATACTAGAAAATTAGCAACTTTTCCTTGAAGATAAAGAAGAAGAATGTAATGGGTTGTATCAGTTTGGCTTGGTTGTATTCTCAGGTATAAGGTTACTTTGTCAGTCATCTTGATTTTTACTGCTTATGCTCTGCATCTGTTGAGGTACTTGAAGGACAATTCAAGATTTTTATCAAGTTTTGGGGCTTTTGAAATGTAATTTCTTATCTTTCCTAAGGACCTGGTTTATTAACCACAAGCAATTCTCTGGAGCCAGCACCAAGAATACTGAGTTAGAGGCTGCTTCATTCAGCCAACTGGTTTCCCCATCTGCCTCAAATGGACACAATCCAGGTAATCCTCTTTGGCTAAAAACAGCAGTAGCCTCCATCCCTATTATAAGGCAATTTACAGTACTGTGTGATTATTGAAACTAAGACAAGATTTGGAGTTAGAAGACCTGGACCAAGATGGGGCTTGGACCTTGGAATTTATTTAGTGATTTAACATGCAGCAAGTCATGAAAAGATAAATAGATAGAGATAGAGATGTGTGTTTTTTGTGTGCATGCACGCACAAGATTTTAAATACTAATTTGGGTAAAGAAGTAGATCTCGTTCTTTCTTCAAAGCTGAAAGAAGGCAAGGAAAATCAGATGAAGTGTTGAATGAAGGACAGACTGACAGATGAAAAAAAGTGAGATTTTTATGGAATATCTCAGAGGCACTATTTAACACCCCTCAGGGGATTTTTCTGGAGGAGTTGAGAAATCCCTGAAGTATTGTGATAGTTTCAGACACCACTAGAGGCTTAAGAAGACTTCATAAGTGCTCTGTAGTAGTCTAGGAGAAGGACGGAGGGCAAATTCATTCTTAACTGGAGCTCACAGGTTGAAACAGGTAATAAATTAATCTTTAAGAATTGAAACATCCTCTACTAACAAGCCTTGTGTAGGATAATTTGTGTGCATTATTCCATTTAATTCTCACAGAAATTCTACTCAGGGAGATGATAGGACAGAGGAAAAGATGAGAGGGTAGAAAACAAAGAGAAAGATGTTACAGAAAGGGTGCAATGAGCATGTTGTTATTAGGAATAAAAGAAGATATATGCTGTGGGAGATGATATAGAAGATGGAAGAGTATGAAATAGATAGGGGGAAAAATAAATGAGAATTGAATCGGGAGATAGAGAAAAGAGGGGACTCAAAATTTAATAGAGGATAAGAAAGAGAAGTAATACAGAGGATAGAGATGCAAGTGAGCACAAACAGGAGAAGTTAAACATGTCCAGAAGACAAAAAACAGAGTGAAAGACAGTAAGAATGAAGGAAAAACAAGAATCAACTGTTTGCATAGGGAAACAATGCTTCAGCAGGCCCTGGAGATTTAGAGAATATTAAGCATTTTTTGACATCTTCCCAAGCAAACCATTTACCAAGGGATCCTTCAAGTGACTCTTCCCAGTGAAAGCCTTAAGAATTTCTTGGTGTAGAAAGTCACCAGGTCCGTCCATTTAAGTGAAGAGCTGTCATATATGCTTATCTTGTTCTCTGTGAGGTGATGAGCAAGATAGGTGTTTCTAGGTGTTCCTCTCCATCGAGGAGTTTAACTTCTATTAAGGGAGACATTAAGCAAGTAATTGTATAGTGTTTAATTAACTCTGCTCCTTTTTCAAATGAAAAACAGCAAACCAGGGAGTCTTAAGCTATTATAGGCATTTGGAGAAGGCTTACTTGCAAAGGATAAATAGGCTTAGGTTAGACAAAGAGGAACTGTACAAGGAGTTGTCAAAGACTTCACATTGCTTGGTTCTACAATGGATGCCAATGGAAGCAGCAGTCAGGACATTAGATGACGTATAGCACTGGGCAAATTGGGTGCAAGGGACCTCTTTCAAGTGCTAAGGAGCAAGGATGCTAAGGAGCTCCTTGAGGACTAAGGTACGCCTCACACAAGCCATGATATTTTCAATCGCCTTGTATGCATGTGAGAGCTGGACAATGAATAAGGAAGACCGAAGAAGAATTGATGCTTTTGAGTTGTGGTGCTGGCAAAGAATGCTGAAAGTGCCATGGACTGCTAAAAGAACTAACTAACAGATCTGTCCTGGAGGAAGTGCAGCCAGAATGCTCCTTGGAAGCAAGAATGGCCAGACTTCATCTCACCCACTTTAGTCATGTTGTCAGAAGGGACCATTCCTTGGAGAAGTGTGTCATGCTTGGTAAGGTGGAAGGTTGACCAAGGAGGAGAAGGTCCTAAAAGAGATGGACTGACACAGTGACTGCTACGATGGGCTCAAGTATAGTAAGGATCATGGAGCTGGCATGGGACTGGGCAGTGTTTCGTTCTGCTGTGCATAGGGTTGCTATAAGTTGGACAGGACTCGATGGCACCTAACAACAACAACAACACAGGGAGTAGAGAAAAGCACAAGGCAGTAGGAAGAACATATGTGGAAATCCTATATCAGGAGGTAGCTTAGTGAGGTCCAGGAATTTCAAGTTTGCAAATTCAGCTGGATTGAAGAAATGAGACAGAATAAATGGTGTGAGCTGATGCAAGAGAGGTAAGTATTGGCTGTTGTATAGAGAAGTAAGTATTGGGTGAATTATATAGGACTTTGGGAGCTCTGGTGGCGTAGTGTCTAAGGCATTTGACTGCTAACCAGAAGGCTGGTGGTTCAAACCCACCAGCCACTCCTCAAAAGGAAGGCTAGGCAATCTACTTCCGTAGTGATGCTGCCTCAGAAACCCAAGGAGGGGTCGTTATGAATCGGATCTGACTCAACAGCAGTATGTTGCATTTGTTGCTTTGCATATAGGCCTTTAAAAGCCAAAATGAGGACTACAGATTCTATCCTAAGTAAAACAGAAACCCTTAAAGGAGCTTTAGCTTGGGGCAAATAAATCAATTTCCTATTAAAACAAAAATTTACTCTAACTGAAGAATGAAGACTGTATTGGAAGGGGGCACTAGTGAATGCAAGAAAATCAGTTAAGAAATTATCATAACAGTTCCTAGAAGTAAAGGGCTACATTATTTATTGATTATAGTGCTAGAGCAAAGGGAGCACATTTTTCATATATTCTGAGGCAAATTTTGGGATTGATTAGATGTTTGTTTAATGAAAAAAGAGATGTCAAGAAGGGTTTCTATCTCTTTCATGTTAGGGGCCCTCAGAATAAAAGTCCTGCATGTGACTGCCCTCTCATATCTTACATGTGATGTTCCCAGACCAATAAGTTTTATTCTTTTCTCTTTATTAATTTAAAACAAGGGAAAAGAAATTTGTAAATTGTTAGAATCTGTGAAGATGAAATGTTAATTTGAGCAAATTCATGAACTAATGTGTTTTTTTTTACATGTTGGCCATTACAAATTAAATGGGAAGGATGTCTACTTATGTGAGAAGATGTGTCTATCTACACACACAAACACACACATGGATTTGTGGATGTGAATTGATGATGTCAGTATAGGGTTGTGTGTGTGTGTGTGTGTGTGTGTGGTAATGATAGTGTAACTTAGAAAAATGCTCTATGCCATTTAGTATTAGAGTGTTGCTGCTGATGATTTTTTCTTTTCTTTTTTTTTTAATTTTCCAAAACTTGAGAGCTATTAAAGGAGGAGAAATCCAAATTCTCTATTATCTGAACACATTGTTTAGTCTTGTCTCCATTTTCCAGATGATCAAATTAAACCCTAGGGGACAAAGATCATTGCATGTGCTCTCCTAGGGAGCAAAAAGCCAAAGTGACACAAAGCCACGTAGATTCTGTTTTAAATACTTGCTATCTTTTGCTTCCACCCATGTACTTATAGAGCTATTTGCCTCCATTACATAAAGATGTATTTTCAATTTAGGAGCTGTGAACTAAGTGTGAGAGTCCTGCCTCCCCCAGCTCTGAGAACGCCATGATGAATTTTAATATCTCGCCTGCCAACCACCATAGTTTCATTCTGACAGGTATCCCAGGAATGCCAAACAAGAACCCATGGATGGCCTTTGCCTTGGGATTTCTCTACACACTAACTCTCCTGGGAAATGGCACCATCCTGGCTGTCATCAAGGTGGCTCAGAGTCTCCATGAACCCATGTACTACTTCCTTTCTATCTTGGCTGTGACTGATGTTAGTCTCTCCATGTCTACCTTGCCCTCCATGCTCAGCATCTTCTGGTTTAATGCCCCTGAGATTGCCTTTGATGCATGTATCACACAGATGTTCTTCATCCATGGGTTTGGAGCGGTAGAATCAGGAGTCCTTGTGTCCATGGCCTTTGACAGATTTGTAGCCATCCGAGACCCACTACACTATACTTCTATCCTCATCCCTAGTGTCATTGGTAAAATTGGAATAGCTATCCTCACCCGGGCAGTCTGTGTGGTTTTCCCTGTGCCCTTCCTTATAAAGCGGCTACCATTCTGTCATTCCAATGTCTTATCTCATTCTTACTGTCTCCACCAAGATGCCATGCGACTAGCCTGTGCCAGCACTCGTGTCAACAGCCTTTATGGCCTCATCACCGTCATCTTCATACTGGGCCTGGATGCTCTTATCATTCTTTTTTCCTATGTGCTCATCTTGAAGACTGTGCTAGGCATTGCCTCCAAAGCTGAAAGGCTCAAAGCCCTCAATACCTGCCTCTCTCACATCTGTGCTGTGTTCCTCTTTTATGTCCCTCTCATTAGTGTCACCATGGTTCACAGATTTGGGAAGCATTTGTCACCAGCAGTGCACACACTCATGGCCAATATCTACCTGCTGCTCCCCCCAGTACTGAATCCCATTGTTTATAGTTTGAAGACTAAGCAGATACGAAGACACATCCTGATAGTATCCAAGAGGAGAAAAAAATAGAGCCTAGTGGATTGGAATCACATGTAAGAGAAAGAATAAGCACAAACTGGAATATTTTAAATGAGCCCTGGTATCACAGTCGTTAAAGCACTCGAATGCTAACTCAAAAGTTGTCGGTTAGAACCTACCAATGGCTGTGCAGGAGAAAGATGTGACAATCTGCTTCCATAATGTTTTACACCTTGGAAACCCGCTGCAGAAGTTCTCTGTCCTATAGGGTGGCTATGAGTTGGAATCAACTCTATAGAAACAGATTTTTTTTGGGAGATTTAGTATTTTGTTTGGGAGATTTAGTATTTCATTTTTCAGCAGTTACAGTGCAGTCAAATTATACACGTGCAGCAAAATGCAGAGTTGGATTAAGATTTGAGGGTGAAAGGTAAAGATCCAACACAGGTTATTTACTTATTTATTTATATTTTATTTAATTTGCAAGTTTTTTAAAATGTGATTTGGGTGAAAGTTTACAGAGCAAAATTGTTTTCCATTCAACAGTTTATACACATTTCGTTTCATGACCTTGATTACAATCCCCACAATGTAGCCACTCTCTTCCCACTTCCCCCCTGTGGTTACATTTCCCTGTGTTCTTCTTTCCTATGCATTTCTGAACCCTGAGCTATCTCCCTGTGCAAATGCTGCCCTTGTGATCTCCCATGGTTCGTTGTCTACCTGTTGGAATTGTTCAACTCATAGGCCTATTGTTTGGCTGGAAGCTGCAGGAGTGAGTTCAATTCCAGGCCCAAAGGATGATTAGGGCCCATAGTCTAACACAGGTAATTCTGGCTCTATGTTTTGGAATCTATGAATCCAAAATGCAACTGACTTAATTAAAATTAAAATTTTCTCTTTAAAATAGTAGATGAGCATCAATAATGGGATAAACTGTCACCTATTAATCTAGTTAACATTGATGAGTTATCATTCATACAATATTAAGTAATATTTTGCTTTGTCATTGAAATGGTAATTACATCAAGAAATATTCAAGTAGCCTTATAGCACTACTGAAGGTCTCAGCTTCTGAGGTTTTTCTTAAAATAGAGCAAAGGAAACAGTTACAGGATCAAACAATATTCATTGTTATGTTTAGGAGTTTATTAGATGAAGGGTACATTCGATTAAATTAAAGTAGACACATCTGTGGTTACCTTTTCTTTAAAATATTACTTCTTTTATGGATTTGTAATGGTTCCAATCTTATGCTATGTACTTGGTAGAATAACATGTGCTCTTTGCCTACTCTTTTAGACCCAGCATGAGTCCTATTTCGCTCTGCACTGAAGATTTAGTAAAACTTTTACCTAGTAAAACTTAAGCTGGGTTTTGTATGAGAACAAGTGAAAAATTTCAGCACTGGGAAGAGGCTTAAGAATGTTATGAATACATGTGTGGGGAAGAGTATGTGAAATGCAACATGCATTTGTGTTTGGCCCTATGTTTACTTTGAGTATTTTGTTAATCAACAGTCAGACTACTGAAATTTAGGAGAGACATTTATTCTTCAGTAAATATGCATTGAGCACTAATGATGTACAGCTATGATGCTAAGGATCTCAGGATCCAGCGATGAATGGACCAATCTTCCTTCCATTCAATCCCTTGCATATTTCTCTATAGAGAAATATACATATACATTGTTGATACTTATTATTATCAATTTCTTTTATGTATAGTATCAGTGAATTATCACAACAACCTTTAAGATTAGGCATAATCAACATTTTATACATAAAAAAAACCCTGCCACAAGTCAATTCCAAATCATAGCAACTGGGTAGGGTAAAACTGCCTCATGGGGTTTTCAAGGCTGTAAATCTTTAAAGAAGCAGACTACCTCTTCTTTCTCCCATGGAGTGGATTGATGAATTGAAACTGCCGATCTTTTGGTTAGTAGCTGAATGCTTTAACCACTGCACCACCAGAGCTCCTTTTACAGAGAAAGGAAGTGAGATTTAGAGCAGTTAAGTAACTTGGTTAAGGTTATAAATTTCTAAACAATATTCAAATTTAGCTGATGTTAAAACCTATGAATTGAGATTTTACCTATGTTTTAGGGTTTCTCAGCCTTGTGCGCAATTTCCAGGAAGAAGGAATTGGTGATTCTAAGACACAGATGCATAAGAAATATGATAGTATTCAATATTGTAGAAATTTTATGTGAGAAGTTCAGCTTACCAAGATGAAACCAGGCAGAGTGACAGATTAAGACTAAAATTGCAAGCCTTGATATAGAATTTACATTTTTAATGGAAATAACTTGACATTTTTGTCTGTATACAATGGAAATGTGCATGTTTAGAAAGTATGAAGTATCATTATACATTAATAAATGTTTCAAGACCAAAATTATCTAAACAGAAATCATGAACCCCAGACAGGCACATTATAATTAATTGAACTACAGGAAGAAAAAAAAAAATAGAACTTTTATTTGTACTTTAATATTTTAAAAGGTTTATTTTTCTTTATCTGTTACACTGTATGTAATTATTAGTACAGGAATGCATGTATATAATTTTTGAATAAATAAATATATTAAGAAGTACCTTTTTCTGTTTTTCCTTGTATAGATAAATGATCAAAATAAGTTGAAAACTACCACTGTAGTCAAAGAGTATAAGCCAACTATTGTAGAATATATTTACAATGTTCAAATACTGTGGTAACAGAGGCAATGAGCTGAGGGTGTCCTCTGAATGCCATTGTTTTCTGATGTGGCAAGGAGGTGATGAGATAAAAAATGTAATTCTTCCCACCAACTACACACATACTCTATGTTCTTACTGTGCAATCCTTCTCAATCTCCTGCAGTCTGACTTTTGTCTCCATTGCTACATGGAAACTATAGTTTTCAAGGCTCAGAACTCCTTTTAATTAACAAATCAAATAACAAATCAAATACCTTTTCCTTAATCCTCCTGAGCTTGATTTCTCTTGGGTAAGTTACGAATATTTAAAATACCCGGTGTTTTAATTTTCCCGCGGATTTGTGGCACTCTACCACATCTTCGGGAGCTCTGGTAGCATAGTGCCTAAGGCACTTGACTGCTAACCAGAAGGCTGGAGGTTCAAACCCACCTCGGAAGGAAGATGGGACAGTCTACTTCCATAGCGATACTGCCTCGGAAACCCAAGGAGGGATCGCTATGAGTCGGGTCCAACTCGGTGGCAAATAATAACAACAACAACACATCTTCTACTTCTCAATTCCCCTATGTTTCTTCATCTGCCTTCACATTCTTCAATATTTTTCAAAGTTTTCACCTTGTCACTCAGTTACCTCAGAGAATCTCCTTCTCCAAGATGCCGTCCATGCTAATGAATCTCCCTTTGTCTCTCTCAAGATCTAATCCCTCACTCATTTTAAACTGTTTTTCATTACCTTTTTCTGAAGATCTTTATATACCTCAATCACCACAGTATCCAGATTTAACTTCTGTTTTCCTCTATGAATGACCTTTTCCTCATTCTTTTAAAGCTACAATCTCCATTCATACAACATTCAAAAGCATACTGACATATACACAATCAAGTAACTTTGATTTTTTCTTTTATTTGCTCCTGATATCCAACCTCATTGCTATCAGTGGAAGGTAGCCCTCTTTCAAGATGTAAGATAAATTTTGCCCCAGAATTATGGGGGTGATGTGGGAGTGAGGAGAGAAGTTTTCCTGATGGGATAGAAAACAACACAGGATACAAACTACATGTTAAAATAATATGTCTTAGAAAAATTGATCTTGAACATATGAACAAGTTTATTACTTGTAAATGAAGTATCTAGCAGTTGTTATATGCCTGTCAAAAAATGTTAAAGTAGAACAGATATATATATATATATATACACTACATGTGGGAATATTTACAAGGTCATCTAGCCTGCTTATTGCATAGATTGCAGAACTGTCACAACCAAAAATTGGTATGTGTTCATCAGTTTTCATCAGTTAATGTATAGGGCACCATTCAAAACAATGGTTCAAAGCTATATGACCATTAAACAGAAATAACTTACTGTAAATTTGAAAATCAAATGAGAAGCAAACTGATCTGTGATTGCTGACTTTACATACAAAACAACAAGGTTTTATCATTGGACTAAATAGATAAGTAAATAAATAAAACATCTTGCACACAGGCATGGAGAGAAACACAGAGAATTACTCTTAAATTTCTCCAGCATGCAAACATTCTGAACACAGTTTTGTTTCACTTTCAGTTGGAAATAAAATTATACTTCCTCATGTCTTTCTCCTTCATGATAACATGAAAAAGTACATGAGACTGAGTCTCACCATCCTTGCTTCTCAGGAGCATTCCAGGAGTACTTCATCGAAGACACATTTGTTCCTTCCTCTCGCAGTTCATGATATATTTAATATTCTTCACCAACATGATAATTCAAATGAATAAATTTTTATTCAGCCTTCCTTATTCATTATCCACATTTTGCATCCATATGTGGCAATTGAAAAATACCATCACTTGCATCATACACATCTTAGTCTTCAGGTGACTTCTCTGTTCTTTAACACTTTAGAGAGGCAATTTGCCCAATGCAGTATGTCCTTTGATTTCTTGACTGCTGCTTCCATGGGTGCTATTGTGGATCAGAGTAAAATTAAATCCTTGACAACTTCAGTATTTTCTCTGTTTATCTTCATGTTGCTTATTGGTCCAGATGTGAGGATTTTTGTTTTCTTTATGTTGAGGTGTAATCAACACTGAAGACTGTGATCTTTAGACTTCCTCAGTAAGTGCTTCAAGTTTTCTTCACTTTCAGCAAGCAAAGTTGTGTCATTAGCTTATCACAGGTTGTTAATGAGTCTTCCTCAAATCATAGTGCCATGTTCTACTCAGATAGTCCAGCTTCTCCGATTATTTGTTCAGCATACAGATTGAAAAAGAATGGTAAAAGGAAATAACTCTGATGCATGTCTTCCCTGATTTTAAGCAGTACCTTATCCCTTGCTTCTTTGAACAACTTCCTCTTGGTC